CATCGGGACAACCTCAGTGTCCTTTCACCTCTTTTGAGACTGGGCCTTTTTACTGTTGAAAAAAATATCTAATCTCAATCAGGGGCTTCTACCGAATCTTTGACTATTCAATTTCCAGATAAAAGACACAGCTACTTTTAATTTATAACAAGCCTTTATCCACACTAAAGCTGGGCAGATACCGCCTCTCTACGTTATTAGAACCTACTTTTCTATTGATAACCCTGATAACTTACCATGTTCCATCTGGGCTGCTCTTAACTCCAATTGGCCAGCCCTCATGGCCATGATTTTAAGGTATCCTCTCCTCTCTCCACCTTCCTCCTTCTCCTTGTGTTTTCTTCAGACCCCAAGCCCAGGAATACTTCTCTAACCCCTCTAGCCTCTAGCCCCCCATCCTCCCACTCCCCACCCCACCCCACTCCACCCTGCCTAAGTCTCTTCTGCCTAGCTACTGGCTATCAGAATCTTTATTTAACCAACAGTTTTTTGGTTTGGGTTTTTTTTTTTTGGTTTTTCGAGACAGGGTTTCTCTGTGTAACCCTGGAACTCACTCTGTAGACCAGGCTGTCCTCGAACTCAGAAATCCGTCGGCCTCTGCCTCCCAAGTGCTGGGATTAAAGGTGTGAGCCACCACCGCCCCGCAACCAACAGTTTTAAATTAAGGAGAAAGGTCACATTGTAGGTGGAGACTCTCTAGTTCCTGGAAGTGACCAGGCCCTGAGGGCCAGTATTTATCATTACAATATATCGAAAGATCAAACCTCAGTTTACTGCTGTGCATACCAGCTAGCTGGGCCGAGGGCTTCCTAGGAGCCTCCTATCTCTGCCTCCCATCTTAACACACAGGGGTTTAGGGGCTGAACTTAAGCCCTTAGGCTTATGCAGCAAGCAGTTTACCCACTGAGACACCATCCTTGTGTGTGTGTGTGTGTGTGTGTGTGTGTGTGTGTGTGCCTGTGTGAAAGAGGGAAGGAGAAAGAGAGAGGGGGAGGAGGGAGGAGGAAGAGGGAGAAAGAGAGAAAGAGAGAAGGAGAGAGAGAGAGAGAGAGAGAGAGTGAGTCTAAAAACATAGAGACTTTCACACCCAGTGAGATTCCTAATATTCCTTTTTCTTTGTGAACCCTTGAGTCACTCACTCAGTCAGTTTCCATTAAGCCTCTGTGGTCCTGAGAATACATCTATCTACAAACAAACTCCAGAGAGCATCCTGACAGCAATGTGCTAATCTGCAAGGCTCATTCGGTATAAGCTCTTAGATTCAGGCACAGGGACTGAGACTCGATGCCTGGACTATAAACTTTGCAAATCCCCTGGAAATGAGCTGCTGGGAATATGTGTTTCTGTTATAAAATAGAACAGAATCATTAAGATATATGATTATTAGGAATTAGATTTGGGTGTGTTCACAGGAGCCTCAGCATCCAGGAAGTAGCATTTATGAGCTTGAGTTTGAATCTGTCACAGCTCTTAAGTGGTTTCAGTCTCCCTGGTGCCAGCCCAGCCATGGGTGGCACTCTGCTGTCTGTCCACTGTCCAGCAGCTCTGCATCCCCAGAGTCTTCAGGCTGTGTCTCTAATCCTAACAATCATCTGGAAGTGGGTGTTGCTTAATTTACAGATGATGACACTGGACCTGAGCCTGAGCGGCCACATCAGTAAGTGGTGGTGCCAAGATCTCTCGGCTGCCTCTCACGGACTCTGGCTCCTGTGCTGGTCATTTGTTAAGCATAGCTGAGATATAAAGAGTGCGATTGATGATGATAGACAGACAGACGGATGGGTAAGAGGTGATAGATGATAGACTGATGACAGACACATAGATGGGTGATAGATGGTATACAGATAGATGATAGATAGATATAGATAAACAGATTATATATAGATGATAGATGAATGATAGATGATAAATCAATAGATAACGGTAGGCAGTAAATTGACAGATAATGATGGATAGCTTTCTGTGTGTCTATACTATAGGAACTGCAGAGACAGCACAAACTTTACTGAATGCTGTAATGAGCTCAGATCATCTCAATACTACATAACACATACGGAAGGACGGCTACAGGCTACACTTAAAAGACCATGCATAAAACATGAAGAGAACATTTTAAAGCTTGTGGTGACTACTGGAAATCACTGGAGACCTTGAATGCATCTTAATGTAGATAATAAACTGGCCCTAAGGGATGGAGATCCACATACACCCAAGATGGAGAGGGTTATGTGTTCCCTTCCACACGATGCTTCTGTAGGAGAACTAGAACATTAGACAACACAGTTTGCTGGACAGTACAGGGGAGTGTGTTGTACCAGTTGGCTTTGTGCCACTTGAATTTTTCCGTCAATAGAGTTGTAAAAGAAAGAGTAACCGAGGAAGAAAGGCATATCAGAATCAGCCTAAAACGATAATACCTAAAAACAGAGAAGTCAGGAAGAATAATCAATCATTTCGAGAGCTCTCCTTTACCACAGAGAGTGCAAGGCAGCTCGGCAGTGTGGGCTTGCAAACTCCAGCAACCAGAGCCTGAGAACTGCTAGGTGAGCCCAGCCTGAGCTACAGAGGGACTCCACCTCAAATCCAAACTTCTCTAAAAAATAATAAATCCAGCATGGCTTTTTTGTAGACATCAACAATCTTATTACAAAATTTATAGGGAAAGGTCATCTTTCCACCTAGAAAAATAACAATCTAGAGTTGTAACAAACGTGTAAGTAACGGTGTGGGCACAGGGACGTGCACCCCAAAGAGTATAACATACAAGGTGTAACATCGTTTGGAGGCAGACTGTGATGAGCCAAGGATAAGATTGCCTGTCCTGAGCAAACTGAGGTACCACCACGGCCAGCAATCTGATACATACCATGGATACATAAAAACTTTAAAAGGGAGCAGGAGGAAGTGACTATGCTCCATGCCGCCTGAATGCCCTCCCCAAAGGCTCAGACTCGGGGATGGTTCCCAGCATACCACTGTTGGCAGGTAACAGGAAAGGTGAGGCCTGGTGGCAGGCTTTGAAGTGACTGAGCACGCCCTTAAAGGGGATTGGGGCCCTGGTCCCTTCACCTTCCTCTTTTATTTCTGGCCGTGAAGTGAGTGGCTTTGGTCCAATTTGTACTGGTACTGTGATGTGCTGTGTTGCTCAAAGCATCCAGGTCAGCTGCCCCTGACTGGAGGCCCAAAGTCTCCTTCCGGTTGTTTGGTTTGTTCTTTTTATTTTAAAGCAAGGCCTCACTGTGTGGTCCAGGCTGACTTCATACTTCAACCTGGAATTCTCCAGGGCTCTGCCTCCTAAGTGCTGGGATTAGAAGCTGTGCCACCATCCCCAGGCTCCTGCATAGTGTCTGCATAGAAACTGACAAGCTAATTTTAACATTTATATGATAATGCAAAGAATTTACAGAGCAGCCACAACAGCCTTGAAGAATACCAGGCCTGACTTCCAGATTTAGTTAAAAAGAATCAAAATAGTGCTTGGTGGGGGGAAAAAAAGCCCATCTAAAAGAATAGAGAAACGAGGCGGGTGCATGTCTTAGCCTTAGCTTGCCTAGTGTGAGTGAGACCCTGGATTCAAAACCTTACCACTGTCCAGGGAGGCTGAGGGAAGAGCTGAGGGATGGTGCAGCTGGAAAAGGAGCCCCCACCTGACCAGGCTTGTTTTCCCAAGAAATCACATGGTGGAAATTAAAAAAATCAACGCTGAGAACTTGTCCTCTGACCTCCACATACGCATTGTGACACATGCATGCCCTATCTCCAATTAAAAAAAAAAAAATTAAAAGAATAAGAGGCAGGGGGATTTCTGAGTTTGAGGCCAGCCGGGTCTACAGAGTGAGTTCCAGGACAGCCAGGGCTACACAGAGAAACCCTGTCTCGCAAAAAAAAAAAAAAAAAGAATAAAGTAAACTATCAAAATTTAAAACTACCATGCATGGTAGTATATTCCACACCTAGGAGGCGGAGGCAGAAGTTCTAGTTTAAGGCCAGCCTGGGCTATATAGCAAGAATCTGTCTCAAAAACAACAAACAACAGAGGAAAAAAAAATGTAGTGCTCAGAGAATGAAGATGAAGATGATGGATGAGACAGGAGAAAATCTTCATGCAGCAAATACCCGAGGAAGGACTTGTATGTGAAAATGGGCCAGAGATTTAAGAAAATCTTTTTTACCATCTACTTCAGATACTCCCATTCACATGGCAAATAAGCAAAATTAAACTGCATCACACGACTAACATTAAGAAGTCTTGCTACCCCAAATGTTGTTAAATACTACAGAGGAGGCTGCATGTGCAGCTCCGTGGCAGTGAGCAGCTCTACGTAAGCTCACACCTCAACTGCGAAAGACCGGCGGCTGATCCCTAGCACCTCAGAAAGCAAGCAAGCAAACAAGAAGGACTGTGGAAGAGCCGTGTACTCACACAGTTGGCCACTTTACAATAATACTTAAGAAGTTTCTTTAAAAGTTGAGCACAGGTCTGGTATGTTGGTTCACCCTTTAATCCCAGCATGCAGGAAACTGAAGCAGACAAACTTCAGTGAGTTTGAGGCCACCCAGGTCTACGTAGCTTCAGGCCAGAAGGATGGCATAGTGAGACCTTGTCTCAACAATAAACAGACAAATGTGCTAAACATAAGCATAAGGGGTTTTCAGGGCAGTGGACTATTCTGTATGATGCTATAATAACCCAGGAAACATAACAAACATATAAGTAATATTAGACACACTGAGCAGGTTGCATTTAGGAATAAACACACACACACACTCAGTATGTAACTACAATTATAGAAACAGAGACCATGAATTTGAAAGAGACCCAAGTGAGGGGTATGGGAGGGTTTGGAGGGAAGAAAGGAAAGGGGGAAACGATGTAATTATAATCTCAAAAAATTAAAAAAGAAAATGCATGTTAATTCACAGTCATAGAGGGCAGCCAGTCCACTAGTTGCCATGGGATGGGTGACGTATTACAAGAGGCTTAAGTAAACTTTTGGGACTAATGATTATAAACACTTTATTGGCTATATTGATATGTTCCCATATACATAAGGAAAAATGTCAGCTTATATACTTTAAGCATGCATAGTTTGCTGCCTGTCAGTTATGCTCCAGTAACTCTAAAGGGTGGCTCCAGGATCAAGACCATGTGATTCTAACTTCACCTCCTCTTTCCATCCAGGATGTGCTAGGAAACTGAACCAAAAGCATGGTCCTATCCTGCTTCTCTGAGCTCCTCACCAGGGCTTTGCAGACTCCAAATGTGCATTTCACAAAGGCAGTAAGAGCAGCCTGTCTCCCCACTCGGAATCCTTATCAGCCCTCTTCATCCTGCCTCCAAGTTTAAACAGCTAGTGAAAGTCCAGCTTCACCCTGCTCCCATCCTAAGAAAGACTTCAAATTCAGTAACTGTAAGAAAGCTAGCACATATAGATTTTACAGTGTGTGCAGAACTCCACCAGAGGGAAGGTCCCAGAAGAGACTTCAGTCATAAGTCAAGTTATTTCTGCTCTTTTGCAAGTATAGATGAGAACAGAAAAACACTCAGCTACCGCATTGTCTGTTATAATCAGGTTCAGCTGCATGCAACAGAAAAAAAAAAATCTAGCTGTTTACATGCAAGGATTTACTCTCTTCACTTTACAAGGACCAAGAGTTAGGCACTATTTGGTTGGCTCTTTGAAGTTATCAGGGTCTCTGCCTTGTCTTCTCTAGCAAGTGATTTCCATCTTCGAGGTCACATGATAGCTGCAGAAGTTGTGTTCTGAGTGGCAGTAGGAAGCTAGGAGGGGGTGTTTGATCACCTAAGGTGATAGGCTGCAAGTAAGGAGGAATCAGAGAGCCAGGTAAGTAAGTAAGTAAGTAAGTAAGTAAGTAAGTAAGTAAGTAAGAAGCACCAGGCCAGCTAATTGGAGCCTGAGACAGGGCAGACTCAGAAACAGGGAGGATCTGAAACAGCACAGTGCTGGGCAGTTCTGGGATGAGGACCCCATCTTTGGATGCTAAGGCTTCTCTTTCCCTCTTTCCCTAGCTACTGCAAAAACAGCATCTCTGCTGTGCTGTGGCCTGAACTGGCCCTGTGCGGTGGTGAGAACTGGCCCTGGGAGCCTGCACTGATGCTCAGCCTCAAATGCCTTCACCTCCTCTGAACACGTGCAGTGAGCGGGCAGTGAGCACACAAAGCCACCCTGTTTCTAGGCTATGGGCAGAAAAAGAAAGAAGCCTTCCTATCTATGGCCATGATCTTAAAAATGCATTAATGTGTCCACATACTCATATAGGTGAGACATCCTGGAGGATGGTGGTGGGACAGCAGGTGGGAGGATCTATGTGAGAATGAAGTGTCTTGTTGGCTCTCTGACCCCAGGACTCCCAGGAGCTGCTGTGTCCTGCTCAGCTCTGCAATGCTCTGCTGCTGTTAGCGAATGAGAGTAGGCTCAGCCCGACGATGCTGTCCCTTTAAACCTGGAAGGAACAATCCGAGACTTTGGGTCAGCTCTTAACTGTAATTACCTACCTTTGATTGAAACAGATGTTAGCTGGGTGCAGTGGCACACACTTTGAATCCCAGAACTCAGGAGGCAAAGGTAGACACATCTCTGAGTTTGAGCCCAGCCTGAACTACAGAGTGGGTTCAGGACACCCAGAGTTATGGAGAGAGACTTTGCCCCAAAAAAATAAAACTCGGGGGCCAGAATGATGGTTCAGCCGTTAAGAGCACTGGCTGCTCTTGCAGAGGATCCAGGGTGAATCCCCAGCACCCACAGCACTCACAACAACGGGTAACTCCAGTTCCTGGGGGTCTGATGCTCTCCCTTGACTTCCATAGGCACCAGGCATGCACATAGTGCACATGACTCCATGCAAAGAAAATACCCATAAACATGAAATAATAAACCTAAAAGAGAAAATTCACACACACACACACACACACACACACACACACACACACACACACACGTTTTTTTGAGACAGTGTTTCCCTGTGTAGCTCTGGCTGTCCTGGACTCACTTTGTAGACCAGGCTGGCCTCGAACACAGAGATCCACCTGCCTCCACAGTACTGGGATTAAAGGGGTATGCCACTATGCCTAGCACTAAGAGAAAAAAAAAATTTTTTTCTTTTTGGTTTTTCGAGACAGGGTTTCTCTGTATAGCCCAGGCTGTCCTGGAACTCACTCTGTAGACCAGGCTGGTCTTGAACTCAGAAATCCACCTGCCTCTGCCTCCCAAGTGCTGGGATTAAAGGCGTGCGCCACCACCGCCCAGCTCGAGAAAATTGTTTAAAACTGAAAAATAATTAAAATACATTTCAGAGAGAAGCACGTGTATAAAGCAAAATGAATCTTCCTTCGTCCCACAGCACTACTCCCTGGAGACCGTCATAGAGTTTCTGGTTTATCTTCCCAGAATATTCCACAAGAGTATATTTTGTTGATCGCATTTGCAAGAATTGTACTTATAATAATTCATTTAGTAACAGTAATGACTGCTAATGTATACGGTCCATCTTATTTATATTGAACTTTGGAAGCAGAAAGCTAAAGCAGCTAAAAACAATAAAAATGGACAATTCCTCCAGAGTGCAATTTTTGAAATGACCACCAGGTGTCAGAACGGCCAGTCGGAATCCTGGAGCACTGGAAAGTTACAAGAAGGACTGTGTCCACAGACCTTGTGGGTGACTCCTCCCCAGGCAGCTGCATTGGCCCTTTGGCCCAGTGTCTCACCGGCTGGCTTAGAGGTAGTCCAGAAGAGGGATCCTCAGGAAAAACACTGCGGTGACAGGCCATGCACACACACTCAGCTGGCCTCCCTCAGGTCTGTTTAAAACTATCAAATCTCTGTGAGAAACACAAACATGGTCGGCCTTCCTGTCATTGCAAGGCTGCTTTTCTAAGTCAAGACCTTTCCTGTCCAAAGCTGGGTAACGGGACTCGGCCATACCATCCTGTTTCAGGAGGAACATCGAGTTCTGGGTAGACAGAGCTCTATGTAAGCAGAACACCAGCTCTTGCCACTTCCTAGTTGACTCAGCACACACTTCCTGTCCAGGCCCAGGCTGCCATCTCCAGATGCTGGGAGAGAAGTGCTAACCCTTTTAGGGAGGACCAGGGTACCCCATTCACAACTCTCAGGTTGCTGTTCCAAGGGAGTTACACTGCTGCTCTCCCTTGCTCCTCCTGACTAGCCAAGGGTACCCTGCTCTGTGGAGCTGACACTTTGTGGGATACAGAGAGACTCCTGGGAGCAAGCTTAGATTGCCAGCAACCAAAGGGGGACAGGACACAGAGAAGGTCCAGCAGGAGAGACCTCACCCTGGGAAGGCATAATGCACCCTAGCGGAGAACAACAGAAATGTCTCAAAGAGGCAGGCAAATCATTCCACGGTGTCCCAGTAAGCATCTGTCTAGGGCTTCCTTGGACCACATCCCACTTCTGGACCTGGAATGATGGAAAGATTCACACAGAACTCAGACCCATTACATGCTGCAGCAGGACTTTCTTCTCCATATGCCTGTGGAAGGGGCAGGGGCTGGTGGGATGGAGGGGGATGTAAGAAGAGTCCTGCTCTTCTCAGGCAATAATCACTCCTGTCCTATTTGAGATGTGACTTCCATGCTTCCTGACAGGCAAGTTAAGATGACCTTTTTACGGGAGTTGAGAGTCCACATCTGCTAAACTGGCATATCCTATATAGGCTGCATGAAGCAACCATAATTATTTTAGTCACTGCACATTTTAAAAGCTATATACATAATTTAAAATGACACATCTTTGATGCCATACACATAGTAAAAATGCTGGTTATTATTAAAACATAGGTTCTATTCACAGTCAAATAAGATTATACAGGATGTCTGATGTCCCATACATAATGTACAAGCCAATGCTTCATGGAATAATATAAAGGAGATGAAATGATCCTTATACTTTGGGATGGACAGTAACTTACCAAGTGGGGCAGTAGCTGTTGTTTTGATGTGGCTTGCAGAGGAATGGCAACAAGGATCCCCTCCTCCTTTAGGCTATCACATGTGATGCATGACGTGTGAGAAGAAGAACCTCTTGTAATGTCACCCCCACTCCAGTCCTGACGGTGGGTCCTGAGAATGTGTTCCAGGTGGAGCCAATCCAGCTGTTCCCCTTGTTAGCCACTGTTTCAACTGCTTAGTAACCCCTGGATAATACTGAACCAGCTAGATGCTTGGAAAGCCAGAGAGTATCCAGACCTCTGAAATGCCTCACTTTCAGTCATAAGCGCCACTTCATTGAACCATTCAAATGACAAGGGTTCCACAGGCCAAGAGAGACTCACAGGTTCATCTGGACCTGAAACCTCCAGGCTTCCAGATCCTTTAGAAAGGGAGCAGTGGGTGCTGAGGGGAGAGGAAGGGATTCAGCCCCGCCCTACTGAACCAAATACCTGCTTGCCCACCCTCTAAGTTACTCATGTTTCAGGCCTGTGAATCATCCAAGAGGTGGGCGGTCATGTTGAGTTTTGTCACATGTGGCATCCTAATGACAATAGCTCCATCCTCTGCTAATCCTTCCTTAAAGGACTCCACCTCCAAGCCCCATTGTCAGCCAGGCAAAGGCCAGCTTTGCAACCTCCAAAGTTCCCTCTGCAGGACCATGGGGTGTGTCCCTTTCTAGCAAGTGAGTCAGGAAATTGCTGAGGTGAACATACAAAAACAGCACTTCCTGCATCAGACGCCAGCCTGGCACACAAGGAGGTCAGGCTAAATGCTCAGGTCACGAGTATCCCTCCCACACGGGCAGGTGGCTTTCCTCACCTACAGCCAAACAGCTTCTGAAGTGGTGACAAATTTGCCCTGCAAACAACAGCGAGGGAGAAGGATGCGTTCCTTAGCAGGTCTCTGCTTGAGCTCCCCTGACCTGCCAGGAGAAGAGCAAACCAACCACACCAGTGGAGAGGAGAGGGCGACCTCCCTCCTCCCCGTGTGGCTCGGTACATTTCAATTCCATCCAATACAATGCAGCTGGATTGTTTTTAACTTTACAGAGCCCCCCGGGTTTTAGAAAGAGATATTAGTTGGAGGAGTTAAAGGAAAGATAGAAGCAGAGATGGGAGGAGGGGAACCCTTACCCATAAAACTGGCCCATAAACATCAGTACTCAGATTTGGATGGGCAGAGCAAAGCATCTTTTATTCCAAGAGCCATGTTAGCAGGACGGTTCAGGTGCCCTCTGCTTCTCAGAGTAGCACAGTGCATTCCTTTTGACACTTTTCCTTGTGATTTTGGCTGGATCACAATAGAACAGCTTGAGCCAATCCTATCTAAATTCTGATGCTCACTACGCTGCTTTTGGATAGCCCTATCTATCCAGGGTCTGAATGAACTGACCTCAGGTCTTAACGGCCTGGGATGAGAGGCAGAGGAGAAGGCCTTGCTTCTCCTTGTTCCATTCCTCTTCTCCCTCCCATGCTATGATAAAAGCTCTCAAAACGCCGGGCGGTGGTGGCGCACGCCTTTAATCCCAGCACTCGGGAGGCAGAGGCAGGTGAATTTCTGAGTTCAAGGCCAGCCTGGTCTACAGAGTGAGTTCCAGGACAGCCAGCGCTATACAGAGAAACCCTGTCTCGAAAAACCAAAAAAAAAAAAAAAGCTCTCAAAACTTGTCAAGGACCTCATGGTGAAAATACATAAGTGCTCAGATTCTCTCTTCTGATCATGGTGCAGTGGATTAATGACAGTCACAAGTTCCAGCACCTATAGGTGCTTGATAGCTGTACTCACACCAGTATCCTAACTATCCTATGTTCTTCTAGCCACAAAACACTGTGCTTTCTAAAATATCCACTTCTTCTCCAAATATAGTCAGCCCACATTTAATAGAGACACGATGAAGAAATAGATCACTTTCGTTTTACTCTGGCCATCAGAAATACAAAAGCTTAGCCACAAATACCAGTTGACAGTCATTCTGAGGCAACAGGGAGTAGTGGAGACTGAGGTGAACAGAAGCATACATCACCTGTTAAGGGCCTCTGTTTACATCAGTCATTGACCTTGCAGAAATTTGTACTCAAGTCTTTGACGAGAGAAACCAGAAATCCAAATTATTTTTTCTTTTTGACAGAGAGACTGTCTCAAGTAGCTGAAGTTGGTCTCAAACTTACTACACAGCCAAGAGTAACCTTGAACTCTTTACCCTCCCTTATCCTGTTGGGGTTGTAGGTATGACACCTCCCACCTCCCACCTCCCACCCCACCCCCGCCATGCCCACTAGCTCATCTGGACTCCGGCTGTTTTCATCTGCTCACTACTCTGTTATGTGTCTTTATGGGCTGGCAGCACTATGAGTGGAAACAGAACCACCTCCCTGGAAACTAAGAGCCTAAGACTGGTAGATCCAGCTCTGATACCAGCCCACGCTTCCCCTGAGCAAGACACATCATTGTTTTGTACCTCAACTGCCTTGTCTCAAAAGTTTACAAG